TGTTGTTGTTATGTGCCGTCGAGTCAGCCCTGACTCATAGCGACCCCTCCTTGGGTTTCCGAGGCAGTATCACTACGGAAGTAGGATTGCCCAACGATTAGGAGGCTGTAATTGGAACAGAACAAAGGGATACTGCATGGTTCAAAATCAAGAATTGAGTGCATCAAGGTTGTATCCTTTCACCATACTTATTCAACTTGTATGCTGAGTAAATAATCTGAGAAGCTGGATTATATGAAGAACGTGGCATCAGGATTGGAGGAAGACTCATTAACAACCTGTGATACACAGATGACACAACTTTGCTTGTTGAAAGTGAATATGACTTGAAGCACTTACTGATGAAGATTAAAGACTACAATCTGCAGTATGGACTACACCTCAATATAAAGAAAAGAAAAATCAACATAAAGGAAACAAAAATCCTCACAACTGGTCCAGATTTCTCCACAGTGGATGGAGAAAAGATTGAAGTTGTCAAGGATTTCATATTACATGGTTCTACAATCAACACCAATGGAAGAACAGTCAAGACATCAGACGATGTATTGCATTGAGCATATCTGCTGCAAAAGGCCTCTTTCCAGTGATGCAGATCAAAGATGTCTCTTTGAAGACTAAGGTATGCCTAACCCAACCCTCCCCCCCAAAAAAAAACCAGACTCACTGCCGTCAATTCGGATCCGACTCATAGAGACCCCTCCGTGGGTTTCCAAGGCAGTATTATTACGGAAGCAGATTGCCCAACCTTCCTTCTGAGGAGTGGCTGGTGGTGCCTAACTCAAGCCATGGTATTTTCAGTCATCTCATATGCATGTGAGAGTTGGACAGTGAATAAGGAAGACTGAAGAAGAGTTGATGCTTTTGAGTTGTGTTGTTAGAGAAGAATACTGAGAGTACAATGGTCTGCTAAAAGGACTAACAAATCTGTCCTGGAAGAAGTGCAACTGAAATCCTCCTTGGAAGCAAGAATAGCCAGACTTTGTCTCATGCACTTTGGTCATGTTGTCTGAAGGAACTATTCTCTGGAGAAGGATATCATGTTTGCTAAAGGGGAGGATCAACGAAGGGCAAGGCCCTCAACGAGATGGATAGACACAGTGACTGCAACGATGGACTTAGGTATAGCTAGGATTGTGCGGCTGGCACAGGACAGGGCAATGTTTTGTTCTGCTGTGCATAGGGTACTATGAGTCGGAGACAACTTGATGGCACCTAATAACAACAATAGCAGCCTCTCATTCAGTGCGAATATTAACATAGCAAAATAACTTATTGTCCACACCATAAAACTTCCTGCTATTTTTCTATTTGCCCCTTATCTGGGAAGAAATGCTAGTCAACTACTGACCATCTTGTGTTTCTAATGGTAGGTAAGTTTGTAAAGATTTCTCCAACTAAAGTATGTAATTTTCTTCATCAAAGAGAATGTCCTGGCTTGTTTAATGTACTTATTTTCCAGACAGTATGTGGCATCTGGATTTTCTGTCTCCCTAGATCACTGCTAACCGGTTAATTATAGTCTTGACAGTGTGAAGCAGATGATTGTAGAAAATCTTTGGATCGGGTTTTGGAAATCCATAGCATTTCAATTAAGAACTGTAGCATGCCTGGGACTTTTTCTAGCCTATTCTACACATAGGCCAATTTATACAGTCTTTTGTGCATGATACAGCCTCGGAAACCCAAGGAGGGGTTGCTGTGAGTCGGATCCGACTTGATGGCAGTGAGTTTGGTTTTTGGTTTGTGTGCCTGAATATGTGAGCACACATGTGTTTGCCTGCTTTGCAAATGGATCAGTCATTTGGTCCCAGCATGTTCAGAGGTATAATGAAAGGAAACCAAACATTTTATAACAACTGTAATGGTCTTTCCCAGCTCACCTTTGTCCTAACTTGGGTTCTGGATTTTGCTCAAAATCTTAGAAACTGCCATTTTGTGTAAACTCTGCATATCATTAGCAACAGTTCTTTTTCTAGGTCCCTAAAAGAATTAAAATGAGGTTAACAGCATAAACTTATATTATGTACTTCAAGTTACCTGAATGGCTAATCCTTTTCAAAGCCCTTAAAAACCAATCAAGTTAATCATATAGACAGATATGCATTTCATAATTGCATAATAATAATAAACTATAACAACTGAAGGATAAAATATTAGAAATAGCAACCACTATACAAAGATTCTTAGGAGTTCTGGTAGCATAGTGCCTAAGGCACTTGACTGCTAACCAGAAGGCTGGCGGTTCAAACCCATCAGCCACTCCTCGGAAGGAAGGTTGGGCAATCTACTTCCGTAGTGATACTGCCTCGGCAACCCAAGGAGGGGTCTCTATGAGTCGGGGCTGACTCGACAACACATAACAACAACAACAGTACAAAGATGCTTAGGAGTCTCAAGAAATATGCATAATGTCAGATTTGTTAAGCAGTCAATATTGACAATGCTTTGATTATTTGTTATTTAATACAAGATTTTATTTTCACTCCCTCTTCCCATAGTCCTCCCAATGTGTAGGGAGAGCAGAATTTGACACTGCTTATTAGAATCCACACTGAGATTGGATGAAGTAGGGTGCAGTTACAGTTTTGTTGTTATTTTTTTTTATTGTGGTCTATCAGTTTGTTTTTCTTTTAGGAGGCAGATGATCATTGGTAGAACCATCAGTGATAGTTTTCTGAGACCTTACCATGGTAAGAAATGTAGAGCTTCAAGTATATTTGATTGGAGTGCCCTTCTTGATAAATTAAGCTTGAATAGATATACTCTTAAAATAACAGGTTTACTTTAACAGCTATTTCCTGCCAGGTTGAGAGGGGGAACAGAAGCTATTTTGAAAAGGTTATTTCATTTCCTAATGTGTACTAGGGAGCTCTGGTGGCATAGTGTCTAAAGCATTTGACTGCTAACCAGAAGGCTGGCTGTTCAAAGCCACCAGGCACTCCTCAGAAGGAAGATTGGGAGATCTACTTCTGTAGTGATACTGACTCGGAAACCCAAGGAGGGGTTGCTATGAGTCAGGGTCGAGTCGACAGCAGTGAGTTTGGTTTGGTTTGAATGTGTACTAGTAACTTCTGCTTCTTTTGTACCTTTCTCTAGCACATCAGTCTACAGGGTACCTCTCTGTCATTACCTCTGTTCTTTCCCTATCATTGCTTTTGATGGATAGCTGAGGTTAGTACCCAGATGTCTTTAAGACAGGCAAAGGAGAAAATACTATTAACTCTTCAACTTTATGGGATTCCTCACATGCTTTGATTATACTGTGGTTGTGTGTGTGCATGTGCACATGTGTCCGTGTGTGCATGTGCACGACTTTATGGAATTTCATAGAATACTTCCCCATTATTTTGTCATAACAAGAAAATATTTGAGGACTCTTCGTTAAACAAGTTCTGGTGGCACAGTGGATAAGGCATTTGGTTGCTCACCTGAAAGTTGGTTCTTCAAACCCAGTAGCTTTTCTGTGGGAGGAAGATGAGGCAATCTACTTCCATAAAGATTTACAGGCTTGGAAACCCAATGGGGGTTGCTGTGAGTTGGAATCGACTCAATGGAAGTGAATGAGTTTCTTGGTTAAACATCAGAAGTGTGTACTCTGGTTACTTGCTTGTTATCCTATGTGGTGACCATCTGTGTTAGCTTCTTAAGCTCTGCACTGTGACTTTGGAACTGAGATTCAGTGTTCATGAGTCCATTTGTGTTTTTGGTGCCAGGTGAGCCACTATCCATAGAATGTGAATAATAAACTGAACTTTCCTGAAATGTAAAGAACAAGAATATATTCTTCACATCATTAAAAGTAATACAAATGTATGATAAAGTATGATAGAGAGCGTGATGGAAGGAATACGTTCTGAGTACTTCAGAAGATATGTGTATGTCTTTAATTTTTTAGATTGCTTTGAATTTGATTAGTTTGACAATTAATCCTTTGGTGTATGTATATGTATTTTTGATTAATAATATTAAGTCCATGATTCCCAAACTTTTCACTATAAAGATTCTCCTATCTTCCCATACATATAAATCACATTTACAAGGTTCTGTTTACTTCAAAATTGTATTTATCAACAATAATGAATGTATTCCTTCCTTAAAATAAACACTGCCAGATTTTATAGTTATGATATAATAGCTGCTATTGCTCTTTTACAACTTGAAAATGAGAAGACAAATTTAACATTTTTTGGTAATCAATCCAGGCTAATTGTGAGTAAGTTTATGGTCTTAGTGAAATATGCAATATAATATAAGCATCTTTACACACGCACACACACACACACACACACACACACATACATACTTTGGGACTTCCTGGAATCCAGGAACAAAAGACTGGTAAGAACTTGATAAAATTTTGCTAGATTAATCTTTAGATGTAAGATGTCTGGGCAAATGTAGATCTTAGAAAATTAGAATACAATGTTATTCATATTTTAAAAGTTAATTTGGGTCTCTTATTCCAGCAAAGAGACCATAAATTAATAGAAATACTTTGCACACAGATGTTATTTACAATGAGAAACAGAATGTTAGATGAGACTTGGGTAGTGATCTTGTAGCTTTAGTGGGTGTTGTAAATGCCTCTTGGTCACATTATTCCCCTTTTTTTGTGCCTACTGATCTACAATTGAGAAAAATAGAATGGACTTTCTTTTCTTAGGAGAATCACTGCTACATAAATTATTGTAAATATGTATCTGTAAATTAAAAAAAAAATGTTGAGGTAAAGAATAAATTACCAAACTACTTGTCACTTCTAAATAATACATTTGTGCTATCCATTTCTAATGTTTATTAAATTCTGTAACAAACTGGGACATGGGGTGGGGATGCACTGAAGAAAGCTTTATGATTCCAAGTCAAAACATTAGCTGATAAACAATATTTCTTTCCCCAGAGACTGGATCCCCAATTACAGCTTCATGCATTGGATTAGGTAATTCTAAAACACCTCCACCAGGGCAAGCAGGAAAACGTGTTCCTGGATACAATGGTAAGAAATGACCTCAGTTATCTGAAATATTTAGATTACTTTGAATTTGATTAGATTGGCAATTAATCCCCTGGTGTGTGTATATTTTTTTGATTAATAATATTAAGCCAGTGTCATTATTATATTTAATAATTTCTTGTGTCTAGTGCAAATCATATTGCTTGGATTATACTAAGATCTTAGTAAGAATTTGATTGAATGGATGTATTAAAATAAAAGCATTAAGTTTTGCTATTAGGCAACTTGAACAAAAGTAAAGTTGTGTATTTTGAGGGAGATGTTTGAAAGAGCTGTCATAATAGAGAAAATGATATTATTTATAAGGCAAGTTTAGAATATGGGGTATGAAATTAATACACATAGAACACCTACTAGGTGCTGAGCGCTTTACATATGTCATTTCAGGTAAGTATGAAGTGTATTTAATTCAGACCTATTATTACTGTGAAAGAGATGTTCATGAAGCCTTTTTGGCCAGAATTAATGCTTAAATTAAACTCAGTTTTGCTGAATTAATCTGGTCTCTTTACACGCCTGGCTGAGACACCTTGTTTGCCTAGCTGACTGTTCACAAGCACAGCACAGTTAAGAAACTCAAAGGCAGTGCTCAAATGTGGTCTCTGAGGAGGAAATCTTGGCACAGCTGTCTTTTTTTTTTATAAAGTGGGTCTAAGAAATATTTATGAGAAAGTATATATTAAAGAGAATTGTTTATAACAGGATTTTGGAGTCAGCCAAAAATGTTACCCAGACAACCAAGAACTTTTCAATTAAGCAATTTCTAAAGAAAGAGCCTTAGTGTTAATTCTTATTGTTGGTTCCGACCTCCCAAAATGTTTTACATCAACCTAGACATTTTTATAAGAAGCTCTGGTGATATAGTTCATAAGACATTTGGATGCTAATCAGAAGGTTGGTGGTTCAAACCCACCAGCTGCTCCATGGGAGGAAGATGAAGCAATCTACTTCCGTAAGATTGACAGCCTTGGAAAACCAATGGGGGTCAATATAAGCCAGAATCAACTTAATGGCAGTGGGTTTGGTTTTTTTAGACATTTTTATAACCTGTTCTCAAACATATGCATTGTGAGCATCCTATGACCATAATTGTATATCTTTCTGGCTGCTTGAGAATTTGTGCCCAATGAAATTCTACCCTGAATCTTTAATCTTCCCCTTTTTGACCTCAATCAAAATCTAATTAATGATTTTATTGTCCTCTCTTTGTTTCTGTCCCTATATCCATGGGACCCACTCTCTGATATCACCATGTTTTCACTTATGTGAGCTGGTGGTTTCCTATTTTAATGTCTCCCTTGTGCTGTATAAAACATCTGAATTTTCATTAATGTGTGAGTAATTTCGCTACAACACTGCAATTTTAGAGATAAATTAACTAAGGCCCAGAGAGAGTAAATAACTTTCTTAAGGTAACACAACTGGTTAGGTCTGGAGAAGAATGCAAATTATTGTGTTTTATTAAGTTTATATGCTCATTTCTGGGAGCTCTGGTAGCATAGTGGCTAAGACACTTGCCTGCTAACCAGACGGCTGGTGGTTCAAACCCACCAGCCACTCCTCAGAAGGAAGGTTGGGCAATCCTATTTCCGTAGTGATACTGCCTCGGAAACCCAAGGAGGGGTCGCTATGAGTCAGGTTTGACTGGACGGCACATAACAACAACAACAACATGCCCATTTCTACTACAAAGGCTGTATTTTCCCCCCATTACATATGTTGTTGTTAGGTGCCATCAGGTCAGCTTCAACTCATAGTGACCCTATGCTCAAAGGAACAAAACACTGCCTGATCCTGCATCATCCTCATAGTCCTTGCTATGCTTAAGCGCATGGTTGCAGCCACTGTGTTGGTCCAACTCATTGAGGGCCTTCCCTTTTTCCAGGCCCTGGTTCCTTCTGACAACATGACCAAAATAGATGAGACCAAGTCTGGGCATTCTCACTCCTAAAGAACATACTGACTGGAGGCGGTATCTCTACGGAGGTAGATTGCCTTGTCTTCCTTCTGAGGAGTGGCTGGTGGGTTTGAAACCCCAACCTTCTGGTTAGTGGTCACATACCTTAGGCACTTATTTTCAGTATTCTTTACCAATAGCACAATTCAAAAGCATCAATTCTTCAGGCTTCCTTATTCATGGTCCATCTGTCACATTATATGAGACAATTGAAAATACCGTGGCGTGGATTAGGCTCACCTTAGTCTTCAAGTGATAACTTTGCTCCCTAACACTTTAAAGGATCTTTTGCAACACATTTGTCCTGTACAATACAAAGTCTGATTTCTTGACTGCTGCTTCCATGGGTGTTGATTGTGGATACAAGTAATATGATGTCTTTTACAACTTCAATCTTTTCTCCATTTATCATGATGTTGCTTATTGGTCCAGTTGTGAGGAATTTTGTTTTCTTTATCTTGAAGTGTAATCCATACTGAAGGCTGTAGTCTTTGATCTTCATCAGTAAGCGCTTCAAGTCTTTATCACTCTCAGCCAGCTAGAGTATGTCATCTTAATATCACAGGTTGTTAATGAGTCTTCCTCCAATCCTAATGCTGCATTCTCCATATAGTCTAGCTTTTCCACTTATTTGCTCAGTATACAGACTGAGTGAGAATAGTGAAAGGATACAGCCCAGATATAAACCTTTCCTGATTTTAAGCCATGCAGTCCTCCCATGTTATGTTCCAACTGTTGCCTCTTGCTCTATGTAGAGGTTCTCAATGGCCACAATTAAGTGTTCTGGAAATTGTATTCTTCTCAATATTATCCATAATTTGTTATGATTCCACTCAGTCAAATGCCTTTGCATAGTCAATGAAACACAGGTAAACATTTTTCTGTTATTCTCTGATTTCAACTAAGATCCATCTGATATCAGCAATGATATCCCTCATTTCACCTCTTGTGAAATTTATGACTGTTTCCTATTGATGTACTGCTGCAGCCATTTTTTGAATTGTCTTCAGCTAAATTTTACTCACATGTGATATTAAAGATATTGTTTGATAACTTCTGCATTCTTTGGATCACCTTTTTTTGGAATTGGGAAAAATATAGATCTCTTCCAGTCAGTTGGCCAGGTGGCTGTCTTCCAAATTTCTTGTCATGGATGAATGAGAACTTCCAGTATTGTATCCATTTGTTGAAACATCCCAATTTGTATTCTGTCAACTTCTGGAGCCTTGTTTTTCACCAATGCCTTCAGTTCTGCTTGGACTTCTGCCTTTAACACCATCAGTAAATGTTCACATTCTACCTCCTGAAATGGAGGAAAGCCAACCAATTATATTTGTTTTGGTAACTCTGTGTATTCCTTCAATCTTGTTTGATGCTTCCTGTGTCGTTCCTTATTTAGCTCATGTTGTTGCTGTTAGGTGCTGTTGAATTGACTCCAACTCACAGCACCCCTGTGTACAACAGAATGAAACACTGCCTGGTCTTGTGCCAGCTTCACAATACTTGCTATACCTGAGCCCATCATTGCAGCCACTGTGTCAATCCATCTTGTTGCTCATAGAATCCTTCAGTATTGCAACTCAAGGCTTGACTTTTTTCTTCAGTTCTTTCCACTTAAGAACTATGAGTGTGCTCTTCTCTTTTGGTTTTCTAACCCTAGGTATTTACACATTTCATTGTAATACTTTGTCTCTTTGAGCCTCCCTTTGAAATCTTCTGTTTAGCTTTTAGTTTATCATTTCTTCCACTTGCTTTAGCCACTCCACGTTCAAGATCAAGTTTTTGAGTGTGTTCTGACATCCATTTTGTTCTTTTATTTCTCTCCTGTCTCTTTAAAGACCTTTTATTTATTTTCATGTGTGATGTCCTTGATGTCATCTCACAACTCATCTAGTGTTTGATCGTTGTTGTTGTCATGTGCCATCAACTCGGGCCCGACTCATAGCGACCCTTCCTTGGGTTTCCGAGGTGGTATCACTATGGAAGTAGATTGCTCAACCTTCCATCCAAAGAGTGACTGGTGGGTTTGAACTGCCAACCTTCTGGTTAGCAGTCAAGTGCCTTAGGTACTACACTACCAGAGCTCCTGTTTGATCATTAGTGTGTTTTTTTTGTTGTTGTTGTTTTGGTTTTTTTTTATAGTGTTCAGTGTGTCAAATTTATTCTTGAGATTGTCTATACTCAAGGTATTACTTTGGCTTTCTTGGACTTGTTTTAATTTTCTTCCACTTCAACTTGAACTTGCATGTAAACAGTCGGTGTTCTCTTCCAGTCAGTTTCCTAGTCTGTCTTAGTCTGGAAGTTCTGCTGAAACCTGTCCACCATGGGAAACCCCACTGATATTTCAAATACCAGTAGCATAGTTTTTGACATCACAGCAATAAGCAAGACACCACAGACAGAAGGGTGGTGGATATGCTTCTTAGGGTTCCTATATTGTGATGTAACACAAAGAAGAATTGGCATAATTCCTGCCAGTAGATAGATATTTACTTATTCATTTAATTTTTTTAAGTGAACAAAATAGAAGCTAATGTTGTTACTGACATTTCATAGAAGCCAGAGTGACTGACTTGATTTAGACTCATACATTCATTTTACAGACAAAGAAAATGAGACACACAGGTTATGTTATTTACATAATGCCACATAATTTGGCTTAATAGATTTATTAAGGAATCCAAACTTTGGAGGATAGAATATGATTTGGAATACACATTTCTTATTTGCATATAAATTTTGAAATTTAGAGATTTGTTTTGGGTATCTCTAAAATAAAATTAAAGAAATTCATTCTGGGACAATGAGTAGTTAAGGGAACTTGTATCTTTTAGTTTAGTTTAGCCTAGCAAATGTATTCATGCAGAGACACCTAAGGTTTATTTACTTATTCATTTAATTTTTTTAAGGGCAAAAATAGGTATTCTGTGAAGCCAGTGACCTCTCTAGTCATGGTCCTGGAAAGGTGAACATAGTTTTTGTGAAATCTTTCATATGAACAGCTGTCATCCCTCCTGCTTTTACCAGGAATATTTCTTTTATGTTGAGACATTTTAGGGCTAATTGTGGGAACTGTTAAGGACATTTTCAGTAACATTTTTATGTCCAGTTATAAGAAACAGTTAAGCTTTGAATCTTCATATAACTGTTTCTCATTTTCTGAAAGCCATTGGTGCAGATGAAACATTAGAACTAAACTATAACTAACAAAGGAGTTGTCTTATGATTCAAGTTTGGTATATGTTTTGTGGTAATTGTGAGATTCAGAGTCATCATTTAATACTTAATTCATAAGAAATATCTGTAAGGTTTTGAGTCAAAAAGGAAGATATTTTGTATGAAAAATAATTCATTATAATATAAGATTTGTGAGCTCTGGTGGCATAGTGCCTAAGGCATTTGACTACTAACCAGAAGGCTGGTGGTTCAAACCCACCAGCCACTCCTCAGAAGGAAGATTGGGCAACCTATTTCCATAGTGATACCATCTGGGAAACACAAGGAGAGGTCACTGTGAGTCAGATCTGACTTGATGGCAGTGAGTATTTTTTTTTTTTTAATGTAAGTTTTAATTTCACATTCATTGATTTTTTTTTTTGCATGCTTGTCACTTTATATACTTTTATTTTTTTCCAAATAATTTGTATACCAGCACTGTGAATAAAGAATTATTCCTGACTTATATAGACAGAGAAACTGACATGGTTATAGAACATGATCATTGTCACATAGTAAGATGGCCACTCTAACTGGGATCTGGAGAAACAAAGATGAATTAGCCATACCTCCACCTTTAAGAAACTCATGTTTTAATGAGGTACAGATACTTACATGTCTAAAAAATTGTCAAAATAGGTTTTTTTTTTCATAATTTCTTTTGTTGTTGAGAATATATACAGTAAAACATATACCAGTTCAACAGTTTGCATTTGTATAATTCAGTAACATTGATTATTATATTCTTCAAGTTGTGCAGCCATTCTCACCCTCCTTTTCTGACTCGGTCCTTCCCTATTAACATAAACTAATTTTAGCATAAATTAATTTGCATAAGCTAATAAAACCCCAAAAGTTCCTGTCTAATCTTTCCAGTTGTTGTTGTCAATTTGATCCCATACAGATAGATGTCAAAATAGTTTTAAAACAAAGAGCTCTGGAAAAACAAAGAAGGGAACACAATGATTGTTTTCTATGGAAGGATGTCTTTCTCTTCTTTGTCATGGCTTCTTACACTAGAATTACCCAGATGGATGAAGCCATATAAAGGATCTATTAGAACTTAGAGGTTGAGGATTTATCTTCATATTCAATATCCACTAAGAGTATTGAATGCAGGTACAAGCATTGATCTCCTAACGTGTTTCAGGGTTTTTTCAGTGTAGGATAGAAAACATTGGGATAATACTTGAGTAGATTAAATTGACCTTTCAGGGCCATAAGTGAGCATTAAATCTTAACTCCAAATAAGTGGATTTCTGGGCTTTTAAATGCTTCATTTTTATTGTTTGCAATATAGTTCCAGGTATTTTTAAAGCTTTGTTTGTTTCCTTTCATTTTTGAAAAGCTGATATTTTTTAAAAATGTCTTTAACAGAATAGAGTGGTACCTTTACATAGACATAAACATAGGGCTTGAAATTACCTGTGTGTTTGCAATATGAAATTTTTTATTTAAAAGGGCTTCTGGAAAAAAATGTAGCATCTTGTGAGGAATCAAAAGTGTGTACTTATTATATTTTATAAATGAATTCCAATTATTTATATTATATGTTCATGACACCACAGGGATTAAACAATGCCTTCTTACAGTTAGATTTTTTGGAGGTTAAATTTATGAAATATGGAAATATCTTTAAGCTTTAAATTCTGCATATTTATTTATTTATTTATTTATTTAAATTTGCAGTTATGATTTTGGATGACAACATGCAAAAATTGAAGGCTCAGTGCTTAGGAAACATTGTGGTGAAGTAAGCAAAACCTGTAATACTACTATTTAAAGGGTCACATATTGGTATGTAATGTTAAAACAAGATTGCAGCCATAATACTGTTGGAGATTTGCATGATGAGCTCTTCTATTATTTGAGAATCCTGACATCTCTGTATAGTTTAAACATGGACAACCTATAAAGTAGAATAAATTCAGATACAATTGAGTCTCTTTAAATTTATTTTTTCTGATTATACAAGTAATGTATAAATGATAACAGTAACTTTAACATCTATATATTAGTTATGTAATTTTGTGTTACATAATTTTATTTTGCTTCCATTTTTGACAAATATTTTATATCGTTAAAGCAATACTGTTTATTCAATTTTATGTATTTCTTTTTCCTTTAATTTTGACTCACCAGAATTTTCACTTTTTATTGTTCTCCTGAAAAGTACTTTATCCCCATTTTAAGCTTGTTATTGTGTGTGTGTTTTTTTTATTATAAATAATGCTGTATTAAACTTTTTTGTATGTTCTCCTTTTCACCTTTCTGATAGTTGCTTTAGTATCAAATAGATTTCTAGAACTGTTGTTAATAGGTCAAACAGTAGCAGGATATAATTACCCTGACTCGCTAAACACCACAATTCTGTGCTTTCATCTTCCATTATTTCTATTCGATAAACAGAAGTGCTCAAATTTAAAGTGGAAATAATTTCATTTTACTTTGATTAAATCTATATTTTAAAATTGTTATACTGGGAGAAGGTGAAATGTAAGTTTATTAATTTGGAAGATACACAGTATGTGGCATTTTAATGATTGATAGCAAGTACCTCTAACATGATATTGATGTCTTTACTGATATGATCTAACTAGTAGAGTTGTTGAGAATAAGCTGCTAAAAATAAACGACATTATATGACAGGACCTAGAAAAGGTTTGTTTTCATATTTATTTACAATTAGAAGTCAAAAGAATTCTTATTATCTGCCATTCTCATATTGGTATAAGATTATCTCAGGTTGATAAAACATCTTGAAATGTTTGCAAATTAAATGAAAAGCAGTAGCCAAGAACTAAATCAATGTATTTATTTAGCTAGAGCTATTGTAACCTTATAAAAAGGTAGAGATACCAGCATGATACAATTCTTAGATTCTTATGTTACTGGTAATCATAGTCAGCAATATATTACTTTTTTTAAAAAGTTATAATTTAAGATAAAATATCCAACAAGATGGAAACATTAAATGTTGAATGTATCATTTGTATTCATGTTTCTCTGAATCAGAATCCATATTAGCATAGAGCTAGTTGAAATTTAATCTACTAAGGGAGAAACAGAAGGAAGGGCTTGCGAAAGAAATAAATCATGAACAAGAATGTGGGTGCGTATTTCCCTTGCTTAGGAATGCACATGGTTTTTGAGAGCATTTGAAATCATTCTAGAAGCATATATTCTTATATAACCTCTGAGTATACGTAATCCCTGTATTGCATAAAGTAACTCTTGCAAGACCTCAATAGTAGCATTAGATGCCAGCATGATTTTAAGCCCCTCACGGGTCCTGGCACTAATTCTTTGTGGCTTTATCCCACCTCTATTAAAAGATAATCAAATATAGCAATATCTCACATAGACTGTAATTTTTTCTTGCAGCCATTAGTGTTACTCAGAAGCTTGAAAGTATCACAACTCTTGCCTTAAAACATTCTGTAATTTAGGTTGTCACTGTGGTGGTTATAATTTGTGTCAACGTGGCTAGGCCTGGTTGAGTGGCTGGGCATCTGGATGTAGTATTCCCCAATGATGAGGCTGGTAATCAACTCCATGGTGAAATCTACTGTGAGCAGCTGAGTAGCTGCCTTTGGGTATGTGATCTGCTTCCCATATATAAGCAGCAGCTTTGGAAACAGTCCCTAGCTTATGGCATGCTTGGATCCTGCATGTAGCTGTGTCATTGTTCAGCACCTGCCATGCTCTGCCGACCTTGGGACTTATAATGGACTTAAGTTAATGGCCTACCATGTGGTTTGGTAACATTGGGATTGTGCCTTTTTACTTGTCAATCTTGGGCTTGTCAGCCTCAGCAGCCAATAGCTGAGTGAAGAAATGCCTCTAGCTCCAGTGGGCTGGGAGCAGGAAGCAGAGCTAGACCCCAAGGTTGAGGGGCTTTCACCCAGCCCCTAGAGCCTGGTACTTTGAACTTGGACTTAAAGCCTCCAAACTATGAGAGAATAAACTCCTATTTGTTAAGGCCATCCCATTTGTGGTATATTCTTGTCAGAGTGGCACTAGGGAACTAGAACAGTCACCAATTCAAAATAATTTTCTTTCTTCTCTATTCCTAAATAGGGAATTTTACTGTAAAAAATCCAGGGTCTGAGATTGCATTCTGTTATCACCTAGAGTTGCAATACAATATAACATGCAGGACATTTTGATTCCTCCTTTATATTAGCAATGAAACTATGCATTTTGGAATATTATAAATACTATTTTAGGAAAGTAAGGCAGAAGTAATCAGGTAGAAGAAGTTTTCCACTTAGGTCTTAATGGAACCATTTTTAAAACCTTTTTTCTGGAACTAATTTTTTCTGTGAGACCAAATATTTACTATGCCTGTATCCCTTTAAAATCCTCATCCCCAATAGCCATTCTATGCTAACTCATCAACATGAAAATTATTCACTCATCCTAGTATGAAATTTTTATGTTTAAATTTTATCAGTAAGACTTGTCTATGTTGGTCCATAACTGTTCTGAGTGTCTTGAGGAAATACATCATTCATCTAAAATGGAAAAATGCCAATGAGTGCTTTTTTTTTTTTTT